GGCGCCGAGATCCGCAGCGGGAGCCGGAACCCTGCGGGAGGAGCCGCGCAGGAGCCGGCACCCGCCGTGGGAGGGGCGGCGACGGCGGCCGGAGCAACCTCGGGAGGCAAACGGAGCCGCCATGGCCGAGTTCCCGTCTAAAGTGAGCACACGGACCAGCAGCCCCGCGCAGGGAGCCGGCGCCTCGGTCTCGGCGCTGCGCCCCGATCTGGGCTTCGTGCGCTCCAGCCTCGGTGCGCTCATGCTGCTGCAGTTGGTGAGCGCGCTTGTGGGGCCCGGGGCCGGTTGTGTTGGGGGGAATCCGAACCGGGCCTGGAGGGGTCGGGGACTCCGGAGATGCTCTTCTTTGCTCCCCTTACATTCCCAACCCAAGCTCACATGCGCCCCGACGCACTTAGACTACCCCGGGAACGCCTCTAGGACGGACGCCCCCGAGATCACCCTGGAACCCTCTCACCCTGAGACATCCTAGTTGTCTCTGCGAGCGCACATACGGTGCACCCATGTTCAGAATGCACCCTCCAGCGCCCCACCATCCCCCCACTCACCACGGTGGTAGCCAAGAGGCCACCCACAGAAGCGCTCGCATAAGCCACAGTCACTGCGCACGACGTTCTCGCTGTCTCTCCTTTGGCCGGGACTATTCCCTCAGCCCTCCAGCATCTAGGCTGATACAAAGTCCACTCTCGGCTGACCCAATGCCGAATCCCCAGCGGTGGCTACAATCGAGACCACTCGTCTAATCCAAAGGGTACGTTTGGTCCAGCATACTTAGGCAGGGCCCTGTGAGGCCGGGCCCTTCTGGCTTCCACCGGGTAACGTGTTGGGTTCCGGCCGGTTAGGCTGATGGGGTGGGGCCGAGATACCGCGCCCAGCGCTGGGGGAATGACTTGTGGGACGCCAGAGGCAAGACTCCTCTGTCTCCCATACCTCTGTAAACCTCAGCTGAGGCCGACCCCTGGGAACACCCCTCTCCCCACACACCAGTCTCAGGCCTGAGGGTGTTAGCTTCCCGCACTTAGCACCTTCTGGGTGCTAGTCTAACTGTGTGGCTGCCCCAGTGGGAGGGGCCTGACCCATTTTCAGAGGACTAAGGGGGAATTGAAGGTGGGCTAGGATCCATTTTCCTTTAGGGTACCTCCCGCTCTCCCACTGCTGGGTGCTAGCAGGGCCACCCTGCTCAGGGCCAAAGGCAGGGTGGTCAGAGACCCAATCTCTGTCTTCCTTACCCTAGGTGAGCACCTGCCACCTCTTGGGCCAGTGCTATCTCCCTTTCAGAATTACACAAATCACTTCCTGTGGGCCCCCTCCCCCATCTCAGCCTCAGACTCTCATGGAGGGGTTTGTTTAGAATGTAGATCTTGGTCCCCACCCCCGCAAAAAATGTGGCATCGGAATCTCTGGAACTGCAGCCCAGAAATCTACATTTTGAACTCTTCTCCCTGAGCAGTCTGGGAGATTCTCTGCAGAGGGGGAGGGGAGGGGGACGGTAAATCCCATCCTGGGACTAATTTAAATCTGCATAAAGAAAGAGCCTGTCTAGAGCGACACTGGGTGCTGGGCTCTGGTCAGGTTGTGAAGGGCACAGCAGCGAACAGGAAGGGAACTCAGTTCCAGGGGTGTGAAAGGGCAGAGGAGAGGGAGATCAATTCTGAGTCCAGGAAGGCTCATGGAGGACAGGTGGCTTTTGAGCAGGGACTTCACTGAAATCTGAGGCAGAGGTAGGGAAAGGTGTTCAGCGGACAGGGCACTGTGTGAGCTGAGGCTTGGGGCTGGGGAAATGGAAGTGGGCGGAGTAGCCAACAGGTTGGTGTAGCCTTGTAGGGGAGGAAGAAATTTCCCTCTACCCACCTAGTCCTTCTGGCTGTTCTGTGAATTAAATTGACATGAAAAAGATTAACAGAAGAAAATCCAACAAAGTTTAAACATGTACTTGTGGGAGAGACCCCCCCCCTAAAATGAGTAACTCAACAAAATGACCAAAGCCCTCAGCTTAAATCCATTCTCAGCCAAAGACCAAAGAGGATGTTGAGGGTGGGGAGTCAGTTATGGGAGGGGACCAGGAAAAGCACAGTAAAACTGGGTAAGGTTGTGATGCAGATTTCAGTCCTTGCTTTTTCCTTTGATATGTTTCTAGAGATTTGGTTGTCCTCCTCTTCTTGATAAAGTGAGGGAGGCAACCTTACAAATGTAAATGATGCTTACAAAAGGGTAACTGCTCCTTGGTTTCCAGAGTTGTTTTTCCCATGTCTGCTGTTTCTTAGAAAATGACCAGCTTAAATAATATGCCAAAGAGATGCATTTTGGGGTGATAGATTTTGCTCCTTCTGAGTGGCCAGAAGCCAAGGGCTTTGAATACTTCTGCGAGTGTTCTGTTTTCAGCCTTAGGGGGTTTTGGAACAGCAGAGGTGTCTCTGCTGGGCTGAGGACAATGAGGCAGCATAGTGTGTCCCAGGGTTAGCTCCTGGTGGACAGGACCTGAGCATCAGCTCCTTTTGCATTTGAACAATGAGACTTGGAATAAAGGGAACTAGAGGAGGGCCCTGCTGTGCCTCCAAGGACTGGGGTAGCTTGCGCTGGAGGAGGCTTGTGTCTTTGATTTGGGAGTCCCTGTTGGCTTAGCAGCCCAGTGCTGAGCATCTGGGTCATTCCCCTCAGACAGATGTAGATGCTGAGGTGTCCATAGACTGTAGGACTGGCCCAGAGACCTGTGGCAGAGCCTGGCACTTAGACTCCCAGGGTGTGAGTGGGGTGGCCTTCCTCTTTTCCCTCTCTGCAGTGATTTTGGGGCACCGGAGGTGGGTGGTTGAGGGTCTCCCATCAGAGTTCTGAAGACCTGCATCAATTGGCTTCCTCATTTGGCTTGTGCAAGAAGCTGCTTCCTGAACTGTTTCTCTGGCAACGGACAGTTCCATTGGGTCTGAGACTGGGGGGGTATACTCACCAGGCATCATATCTGCTGGGAAGCCATCCTAGCTCCCACCACTCAGGTGCAAAAAAGGCTCCAAGCCGTTTACCAAGAGCTTCGTATTCTCTTATTCTTCCCCACTTTATAGGTGAGGAAACAGGCTCAGAGGTCAGTTCTTTGCCCAGGAGCTCACAGTGATAGAGCTGGGATCTAAGCTGAGTGGTCGGACTTTTCTGGTCCGTGCTCTTAATTACTACTCTCAGCTGTACTCCTGCTAGGCACTGGGTGTGGTGCTGTTGAGGGTGTAATGGAGACCCTAGGCCCAGCACCTGCTCTCCAGAAGCTTTTGGTCTGTGAGAGAAGTGTCCAAAAGATGAGCTTCCTGTAGAGGGATCAGGGAAGGCTGCCTGGAGGAGGTAGTAGATGTGAAGATGAAAGCTAATTCTTCATCAGACCCCTTTGTTTCCTGGGATTTGGTGAAGAGTTCCAAATGTGGGAGGGGTAGGGTGGGGTGGGGGCTGGATAGAAAGGCCCTGGCTTCTTGAGAAGATGATCTGCTCTTTGTTTAGTATTAAATGTGTCCTGAAGAATCAACCTCAGTGTTCACTGATTTATCACTCCCCCCACCCCATCTAGCTCCAGAAAGAACATCAGATGGAATATGATATTGTCACGTATGACAGAAGAATTAAATTAATAATATTTTTAAGAGTTGGTAGTGTGTGTGGATGGGGATTGATTTTAAAAGAGCTGAAAAGAGATCTGGAATCCGTAGCAAGTTTAAGGCTGTTGATTCCTTATCAAGTTTCCTAGCAGCCTAGGCAAAAAGGGAAACTTGAATTTTTGCAAATAAATTCATGCAGATAAAAAGCATCTAAAAAAGGAAGTAGGCAAGTTTGATCCAGAGACAACTCTTGATCATGAAAACCTGGAGGCTTTGATGCTGCAAATCCTTGTGTGGCTAGGGGCTGGAGGAATGTGGAAGATGTGGTTAACTGTGTGTTTATGGCTGATCCCCAAAGTCTTTCTAGAGTAAGGAACGCTGTTAAGTGCACATATCTTTCTTATCTTTTTAAAAATCTTCCCCAAGCCCTGGGGAAAAAGGTGATCTACCTGGGTTTACTGATGAGGAAACAGACTCAGAGAGGTTGAGGAACTTGAACAAAGGCACACAGTGTAGAGCACCGAGCTGGTATTTGCTCACAGATCTGAGAATCTGAACTCTGACTCTAGCTTTGCTTCCTATTGTTTCGCTTTTGGTTATTTGGTGGGGGGTGGGGGTGCTTTGGAGGGAAGGAGAGACATTTCTGGAAGGGGAGACTCATGAGGGCTCAGGGCCACTTGAGAAGGCTTCTTGCCAGAAATGGGCCCTGAAGGGTTTAGTTATGTGGAAGCGGGTAGTAGGAGGGAGGTTCGGAGCAGATGAACCTTGGAATGTTTTGTCTAAAGGCCCAGCATTCAGAAGGCATCCTTGAGGCTCAGGACATAGAAACCATATGAATGGCCTGTGGCAGGAGGGCCATTTGTGTTTGGCACCTTCTGTCCTTCCTTCTTGCCCTACCTCCTGGGATTGGGGGTGGTCACACAGTTCCCAGTTGGCAAGTGGATAAACTGAGCAGAAGCCCCACCTGCCACTCACTCGGTCACAGTGATCTGAGGGTGGTGGTGAGTATTGGTGGGAGTACAAGCCTAGAAGCAGAGAGCCTTGGGTTCAAATCCTGCCCCTGCCCTTGTTACTGAACCAAACTTGGGTCTGCTCACAGGCACGCAGTAAATCTACTGACACTTGGTTGAGTGAAGGAAAATGCAACATCTGTTGTAAAGGCACCAATACAAGAAGGGTGAGTGGCTTGAGCTCTAAAACCCTGAACTCTCTGGCTTGGGTTTCAGCAAAGCTTTTTTAAAGGCCAGGTGAGGGAAGCTCTGTGATCAGCTCCTCCACAATTCTGATTGGTTGATGGTGAGGTAACAGGGTGGTTAACATGATCAGTCCTTAGGCCCCAGTAGATCCTGGAGCTCATGATCAAGTAGTTAATTTCTTCTATTTGGTGCGGGTTTTTGCATCTGTAAAACAACTCAGGAAGTGAGCATCAGTACCATTATCTAGGTCCCTCAGGAGCTACAGCAGAGGAGATGGGAGAGGGGTCTGTTCCAGGAATGCCCCATAGGGTCCTGCCCCATAGGTTCCTGTTCAGTTACACCCTTTCTTTGTGTGATCTTGGGTAAGTTCCCTAATATCCCTAAGCCTCAGTTTCCTTGCCTGTGAAATGGTGATGGTGGGCTTGGGAGGAATATGGAAGATGATGCCTTAATGTGGTGTATGTTAGAATGAAGGGCAGTTAGGATCCACAGGGTCATAGAATCCTAGGGCTCTTATGCTTGCTCTCAAATGTCCCTCAGTGTGTCCTCAACAGAAGCCTGCATGTTTCCAGGGACAGGGAGCTCAGTCCCTCTAAAGGCTACCTGCTCCATCCTTGTGCACCTGGGGATGTTAGGAAGTTTTTCCTTTTGGTAATCCTGACTCTATCTCCAGCCCCAAAAGGCAGGTCAGCTTCTCTCCCGGCCGGGGGCAGGGCAGGGCCTGAGAGTAAGCTCTTTCCTCCAGAAAGAGGCTGGCTAGATGAAGTCATTGGGGTCTGAGAGGTGTGAGCAGAGGTTGGCCATACTGGGATCGCAGTGCTGGGGACTTCCAGGGCTTTCCTTACACTGAGTTTTGTGGGTTCAGTCTTCTTAGGCTGGCCCTGCATACTCACCACCTCCCACCCAACTACACTGTGCAGAGCAAACCAGTGCCTTGTATTGTTAGCTCTGCCTACACGCCCCACTTTGTGACTGAAAGGGTGCTGAATGTTTGGAATTCATTTATATGTATATATAACAAACATACAGACACATTCTTCTTGAAGAGCAAACACCTATTACAGGTAAGGCTAAAGTTATTCTTGGATCACCTGCCTCTCCCCAAGAGGACCACTGTTTGGGGTGTTTTCAGTTCTTTTTCGTGTGCATTTTAAATAACATTGATGGTTTTATACTGTATCCTTTGTTCAGTTGCTTTTTTCTCGCTCAGTGCACCTGCATCTCTTCATGTTATACAGAGCTGCCTCCCTCCTTAACTGTTTCAGGCTATCCCAGGGCATCACTGCTAGGGCCCAAGCTCATTTAGCCATTTCTCTATTGATGGGCCCATTTTTTAAAAACGTTTTTATTCTTTGAAAAAACCTATACAGACATACAGCAAAACGTCCCAGCAGTACAGAGGGCTATTAATGAAAATGCAACCTCTCATCCCTGACACTGCGCCCCCCCCTCGCCCCCATCCCATCTGCAGCCCTCGCTTGAGGCAAGCACCATTGCCTGAGGCAAGCACCATTGCCGGTGTGGCATTCTTGGGGGAGTCAATGCATATTCCTACACGTAATCCCTATCAAAGCACAGCTAGGTGTGCCTTACCGTGCTTTCCCCCCTTGGCTATACACCTAGGGACGTTCTGTAATGTTGCAAATAAAGTTACATGTATCTTTCTTTTTTTTAATCCTTTATTTCCTTAATTTCTTTAATAGATAATATATTTACTGGTCCACAATAAAGTAGAATGGAACAGAGTATAGTGAAAAATCTCTGTCTCTTTTGGTTAGAGTTGACCACCCCCCAGGCCCTCTCTTCTCAGTTTCCCTGGTACGTTTTAGGCTTTAAGGACATACCCGCAAATGTGGCTATGGAGCCTCAGTACTCCAGGGCTGTAGTCTGTCCACATCCTTCTGCACTTTTCTTTTTTCACTTAAAAATGTGTCTCGGAGGTCTTTTCATCTCAGTGTGTGAAGCGTGATCGCTTCTCTTGGGGCTTCTGTAGCATCCTGTCCTGCAGCTGTGGTGTGAGTTGTGTGGCTGGTCCCTTTGTTGCAGACACTTGGGTTCCACTCTGTTATAGTGAATGATCTCACCTAAGCCCCGGAGCACATCTGTACGGTCCATTTCTGGAAGTGGGAACCACTGGCTCAGGGTACGTGTGTTAGTGATTTTGGTAGAGATTGTCATTTGCCCTCCATAGGGGTCACCCTCACGCCCCACCAGCCAGCCTCACCAGCATGGTGAATTAACACAGGAGCATGTGCCCTGGTCTGACCGGCAGGTCAGGGTAGCTTTATTTTGTATTTATCTTATGAGTGAGGTTGACCTTTTAAAAAATATGTTTGAGTCATTTGCATTTCCCTGTGTGTTTGTATTCTTTCCCATTCTACTCAGTTACTGATCTTTGTGGTTTCAGTTCCTCAGGATGCTAGATGATTTGCAAATATTTTCTTCCCAGTTTGTTTTTCTGACTTTGCTTATGGTTGGGGTTTTTTTGTTTTGTTTTGTTTTTGGTGGGGATTTTGCCATACAGATTTTTAAGTTGCTAAATTTCTAATTTTCTTTCCTTTTCCTTTTTTTTCTTTCTGGCTTCTGGAAATTGAGTCAGAGTTAGGACTTTCACTCTTAGAGGTAATAAAGAAATCCTCCTTTGTAGAACTTGGAAAGTGTCACGTCACCCATAGTCAATCACACTGCCGAAAGACTACTAAAGTGACAGCCTCATTTGAGTGCCAAAGTGTCTGTAATGCTTTCCCAACACTTCTTTTTAAAAGAGAGATCTCTTGATCTTGGGAAGACAACTGCTTCTGTCGAGGATGTATTAACGTTGTTACACTTTTGTTGTACTTAATTTTATAGTTAGCTTCTATTGTGGTAGATAATGCAAGTTTTCCATCTTTTAGTGATTTAGAAGTTTCTTTCTCAAATTCTTGTGTGATGAATACTATTCATCAATGAGGATTGGCTAAATAAATTATGATACATTTGTGCAGTGGCATAAGATGCAGTTAGTAAAAAGATAATGTCTTGGGAGTGGGGGTATGGCTTAGTGGTAGAGCGCATGCTTAGCATGCATGAGGTCCTGGGTTCAATTCCCAGTACCTCCATTAAAAAAACAAAAAGATAATGTCTT